CCTTCGTGAACTTGTTTCGTTCGCCGTTATCTCAGCTTCATTGCCCGAGGCTTTCAGTGAGTTAGTTGAGTCATTTTCGATTAGCCGATAATCAACTGCTTGCAGTTCGATCTGACCTGATTGACTAGGCGCATCACCGGAAATTAACTGCTGGCGGTGGACTGCGTCGCAAGCAACAGGGACCGCTCATCGAAGCTACAACGCGACTACATTGACGCGTTGACGTTCGCTACCCTGGCTGACAATCAGACTGCCCTGAGGTTATCCCTGTTGCCGCAAAAAACTCATCATTTTCACGCTAGACCAGTCGAAATGGAAAATAGTGAAAAAGCGCCGCATACATGGTGTATTACTGGAAGGTTTAATTTGTCGAAGACACTTAAATGTAACACTTCACACGTTTGCATTTCTCAGTATTTACCACGCCAACGAAGCGAATTTCAACGATGTACGCTATGTAAGTACGCCTGAGATGGGCGATGTCTGTGGTTCGGCGGACCGCGTTTGACCCTTTATATGGCAGATATGGCTTGTCAGAGAGGGCAGTTGTGTAAGTCATGAAACGTGCTACCTTTTCTACTCATTTCTTCGTTATAGGCTCAGTGCTTCCTCCAGTAGTGACTAATTATCGAATACTTGCTTTCTGCCCTTCAAAACTGCTATGCAGACGTTGAATAGTAGCTTCTCTCTATTAATCTCTTTACATTTCGCTGTTCCACAAGTTGATCATCTTTACGCACGCCAATCACCTTCCCTTCTCGTACTAGACGTATTATTTTCATTTCAAAATTCGTGATGAAATAATGTTGACAATGATTTCATTCATGTCTGTACATTATGTTTATTTTCAAAAATGCTATTCGAGACAGTATTTCGATCTAGCATGTATCAGTCTTCTACAGACTTTAATCCGGCGCAGAAACGGGCCGTAAAAAATAAGGTAAAGGGAGGTGCATGTAGTTGTTTTAATATCTTAAGATCCCTTTTGGAGACGTCATCATAGCTAACTTTAGTGCTGGAACATACATGGCAAACAGCAGCCATTTTGTTTTGAGCTTTTTTATATTATCTGACTTGCCTCTCAAATTTGAACGTTATTGCTTTCGCTTGTTTTTTCCTGTTCACTGGTCCTCAGCCGTCGCAGAGGTTTCTGCCTACGGCCCCGCTCGCAGCTGCTGTGAACATTTGCAGTTCATTCCCACTATTCATTTCTTGGCACTGGCGCAGACGCAGATCACAAAGGACATGGATCCACTTCGCTCGAGCAGCCTTCAGAACATCGAGCAGCAGTCTGGTCCAGCCATCACTGAAGGTCACTGTTCATTGGCGCAGGGACCCTAATGTCGACAGGACGAGCGATTGTTGGCGGCTCTTCGTTGGCATTGCAAATAGTGAATAAGTAGATTTCAGGAAAAATTTAAAATTTATTCTGATGACCAAGAAGTGTTCATTGAAGCTGTCCATGATTTAAACGACGTTTATTTTCAAAGATATCATACGAGGCAATGTTGTGACTAAACATATGTTGATTTTGCAATGATCTAACGCAATATCTAAACGGTTCACATGTCGTTGATGGAAACGCAGCAGTTTATTGCTATATCTGTTTTGAGGTCGGAAATCGGTTATTAGATGTCGTCGTAACTCGTAACCGATTCAGTACTGCAGAATCACGATATCGATGATTACATTATCTGAATAGTTAAATTATGCTTGCAGTTTGCTTATTGCAATGATTTTTGGTCAGTCGTCAATCATCAGTTGTGTCAAGGGGAATTGCAGCCGCTAGGCGTACGCATTACCTTACATGGCCGCAGGTCTTGAAGGCGCTCACATGATGACAGCAGAGCAGCATGCCCTCCCTCATATTCGCAAGTTAACGCTTAGCTACCCGTTTCGCGGTTAGTTGCATCGAGGCATAGGTGCGAATAATTTTTTGCTCAAGGAAATTAATAGCTAAGAAAAATTTTGCGCTGAGCTGAGATAGAAACGGCGCACTTCTGAAGTCAAACTACAGTGCGTCCGCTCTGCTACCTCAACGCTAATTTTAAGGGTTGTTACATGATCTAATTTGTTATTAATTACATATCTGTTTATTTCATGGATGTTCAGCAGTGAATGCTTCACTGGTGCAGAATAAAAATTTTATCCTCTTGCAAGCTTCGATGGATGTTCAACAACATCGGCCTTACCCTTATGCTTCGCTATCCCTATGTAGCATTAAGGCCAGCGCTGGCCAAGTATTTTCACACCACTCAGTTTGTTGAAGAAGACGGCGTTCTCTTGAGTTTTTTGACAGCACAGTTCCCTGGCGCCTGATTTCTGCCTAGAGGCCCTTCTTTGCTAAATAGCTTTAACGAATGAGGAAATAATTTTTTGTAGTCTAGTTCTATTAAATCACTTGAGAAGTTTAATTAGTAACCATGAATAATTATTTCATTATAAACCTAAGAATGCATGATTTACGAGAATGCAACTACTAGTGTGAAGCCATATGAAGGCACAGTGAAGTTCAAAATCTAAAAAGGTGTCAGACAGGGCAATGCAAATGCACTGGCACCAAAGTTGCTCACATTAGCCTTAGAACAGGTTTTCAGGACACTTCATTGAGAAATTCAGAAGCTGAACATGATCGGGCACCAATTAAGCCATCCGCGGTTTGCGGACTATGTTCTGATCTCCTCAAGGGCAACAGAAGAACTTCGAAGTAGAATTCAGAAACTGTGCGACGTCAGCATGTAAGTGGGATTGAAAATGAACGTGAAGAAGACCCAGGTCATGTTCAGCAACTGTGGTACCGTGCGACTTGTTGAAGTATATGGAAGTTTGTTGAAAAGATGCAAAACGACGTCTGCCTGGGATAGCTCGTCTCCAGTCGAGGACCAACTGTGTGCTATCAACAGAAGCATAAAAATGGCATGGCACATTTGAAAAATTGAAAATGTTCTAATCCAGGTAGCTGCTTTCGTGCTTAATATAGAAGTATTTAGTCAGTTTATGATCCCGGTGCTAACCCGCGGGTTCGAAACGTGCGCCCTAAGCCTGATAACTATTCGTAAAGGGCTGATTACACAACGCAGCATGGAATGAAGTATGTTGGGAATGAAAAGATAAACGACAGAAAGATGCGAACGAATGAATAAGAGCACAAGCAAGAGTCTGCGATGTCACTGTCTTAGCGAAGAAGCCAACGTGTCAATGGACATGAAGCTTGCAAGAAGGACCAACCATCACTGAACCGGAGAGACATTAAACCGGGTTCCAGGAGACAGTAAGCGGCTAGTAGGAAGACTTCCAACGGGATGAGTTGAAGAAGTTTGTTGAATCAAGATGGTTAAAAATCACAGCGCTTATGACAAAGTCTTGGGAGGCCTTCATCAAGCAGTGGCTCGAAAAAGGCTAATGATAATGAAGCCCTTTTCCTAAAGAAATTCTCATTTCGGTTTTCGGTTCTTTTGACTGTTGCGCCAAGCGACCGGTCATTATTTCATATTGCATTCGGTGCTCGTAAATTTTAAATGGTGATCAACTGACTTAGGACGAATTGACTTGCATGAGTTATGCTTTTCACATAAGGATAATGAGGAAAAATTGAAATGATTCTTAGCTGTGACTGACTGTGACAAACGTTTGCCTCAGCTAAGAGGGTTGATGAAACGTCTTTCAGATTTGGACATCGCTATGGTACCGGATTGGCCAACAGAATGACAAAGGATTTCACTTTCTTTCATTTTCTTGATAGCCAGCAATCACTGTTTGTCGGGAGTATTCACTTTTCTTGTTCAGATGTTGTCGCCCTCCGCTCCGAGGGTGGGCATCATGGTGAAAATGTTTCATGGTAGTTTGGTAGGATTTCACTGTGGCTCCAAATTTGTTTGTTTTGGTTTGTGGTTAAAGCGTCTTTTTTATGCCCAAGTCTTCTCTATAAAGGCATGGGGAGCCGGTTTCAGTTCGTTCCTAACTTGACCTTTTTGTCGTCCATGACATGCTTTCGCGGATGCCGCAACGGCATAGACGAACATGCTTCACTGTACTGCATCCTATCATGTGATGCATACGGTAGTTTGCTGTTTTCTATTGTTCTTCGCACAGAGACTTGACTGGACTGGATAAATGAAAAGAATTTATGAAATTCAAATACATTTCGATGTTGGTTTTGTTATTGCTGGTGCTCAATATATTGTCAATGCAATGGCAGTACTGTAATCGCTTGAAAGGTTTGTTGCAGTCCATCAGGAACAGTGTTTCGAAATGGTTCTAGCATACTTATCTGTTCATATGTGAAGGAGCCCGTGTCTCTGGGAACTAGCAGCACCATAACTATCATTCTTACCCTCACAGACAGCGTGTCGTCAGCGAGCATTGCTTCTCTTGTCCATACTCTCACAAATCCGTGCTTACCGTCAGTTTATCAAGCGTGTGAGATGAGAATATCCCATTTGCATAATGATAAGGGAATTTACTGGTTTTTTCAGTATCAGTTTTTGTTGAAGGGAATTCATAATTATCCGTGTTAGTTTACGAGATCAGAGTAGCTATCTTGATCGACCTCATCATCGTTTTACTTCATATGCTGTATGTGATCAAAATTCTTTCATGAATCTAGCCGATACTTTGTGCATTGACTATTATGTTTTAAACAGAAGGCTCACTGTGTTTACTAAAAGGTTATGCAAAAGGTTTATCGAGATGAAAAATCTCTGCCGACATTCTGGCTAGTGCCTCACGCGCCTTCACTGTGAACTCTGCGTTTTATGTCATTATTTATTATCGATCGATTTCATCTGACCTTTGTTTGGTCCGGCAGGCTAACATTGGGTTCCATTGGTTTCTTTTACGCCTTTAAAGCTGTTTAGTGTTTGATGAGACGCTACCGCTATTACCTTTACTTTCTGCTTGCTAGGAGAATCAGAATCTTTGGTCGCAATAAGCAACTTTGCCCCATTTAGTGATGAAACTCAATCCGTATTCTTCCAACTTACCAGCCTGTTCTTATCGGGTGCATTCCATTTAAGAGGGAATTTTGTAAATGTTAATTTCTTCATCATTCTCTGATCCATCTTTTGTTTATTTAGTTCTTTTATCACTCTGCGCAGCATCGTGTCGTCATTTTTCTGTTACCTGCTACTACACTCAGTATTTGCACTGCG